GGGGGGGGGTACCACTCTGTAAAGTACATGGTTTTCTAACCACTTTGCTGTACATTTGAAACTAATACAGAATAATACTGAATTAAACTCTAATTGAAAATTTTTAAATAAAAAATTTTTAAAAAGCATATTCACATATTAAAAGATTCAGACAAGGAAAAAAATGAACTTATGCTGCACACAAAACACAAACTCAGTAAATGCTCTGTGACTGAACCAATGACGATATTTTGGACTTAGTGAGTTAAAAGAACTGTGGATGGGAGTCTAGGCATGTTACCTGAAAGGACACTTGAGGGAAAAAAAAGAGCAAAAATGTCAGGCCAGGAAGCAGTGACATGGGGAGAATCAAGGAGTTCTCTCCTTCAATAGACCAGGGAGCTGAAGGAAGAGGAAGGTTTAAGCAGGAGACTGGCACAAACATCAGAGACAAATGTTTAAGCGCAGGGGGAAATTTCAGAATTTAACCCAGCCTTGCCGCACACTATGGCTAAAAGCAAGCACAGAGAGACACCCAGTGTTCCGGCGCGAAAATGCAGCTTGGGCTCAACTCTTCCTTTCCGCACCCCCCTCTCTGTACCCTTGCACAAGATACAAATTGATGTTTTAGAGATTAAGGCATCAGAGGTGTGTTTAACCTGTCCCATTCCATAGCCCATCCACTCTCTTAAGATATGAGAAAACAATTCAAAAGAGAAAACAGCTGGCTAGATAGAAGCCAGGAGAGAAACCGGCAGGACCAGAACCCAGAATGTCTTCCCTCGCTCACCTTAAGATCTGCCTTTTAAGAAAAGGAGAAATTTGGACACAGAGACAGACATAGAGGGAGAATGACATGTGATTATGATGGCAGAGATCAGGGCAATGCAACCAAAAGCCAAAGCACATCAAAAATTGCCAGCAAAACACCAAAACCTAGGAGAGAGGCACATTACAGATTCTCCCTTGCAGCTCTCAGAAAGAACCAACCCTGCCAACACCTTGATCTTGTACTTCTAGCCTCCAGAAGTGTGAGAGAATAAATTTCTGTTGTTCTAAACCACTCATTTTTGGGTACTTTGTATAGCAGCCCTAGGAAATCAGTACATTAAGTAAATGAAGCACTTTGGAAGCAGATTATCCAGTCCCAACCAAGCTTTCAGATGACTGCAGCCCTGACCCCTATCTTGACTGCCTCTTCTTGGGACACTCCGAGCCAAAACCACCAGATAAACCGCTCCTGAATTCCCAACCCACGAAAATTGTGAGATTAATGTTTGATGTTTTAACTTCTGTTGTGGACCTAATTGTGTCTCCCAAAATTCATATGTCGAAGTCCTAACCCCGAGATGACTGTATTTGGAGATAGAGCCCCTAGGGAGGTATTATGGTCAAACGAGGCTGTTAGATGGGGCCCTAATCCAATATGACTGGTGTCATTTTAAAAAAGAGGAAGAGATACGTGGGGATACATGCAGGCACAGAGAAAAAGCCATTGAGGATACAGTGAAAAGGTGGCCATCTGCAAGCCAAGGAGAGAGGCCTCAGGAGAAACCAAACCTGCCAGCATCTTGATCTTGGTCTTTTCAGCCTCCAGAACTGTGAGAAAATACATTTCTGTTGTTTAAGTCACTGTTTGTGGTGTTTGGTATATGTAACATAACTAAAGACACAATTTGCCTTAAAAGTTGTCACATAGTTTCTTTAGCCAATATTTGGAGGCTGATTCCTTAAGTTTTGCTAAAAGTATTGTAACTACTCATAATAACAGCTAAAATTCACTGAGTGCTTTTACAGTATACTGGCCACTGTGTTAATGAGTTTAAGATAGATTATCTCATTTAATCCTGCCAATAACAGGCCTGTGAGAAAACTGATGCGCAGAAAGATTAAGTAACTTGTTCAAAGACATCCAGCTGGTAAATCATCAAGTGGGATTTAAACCACTTCAAATCTCTGAATCCAGAACTCTACTGCCTCTTAGGTTTCTAGCAGCTTTACTAATGATATTCCCTTGTTACTTAGCTGCTGGCATAAATATTTCACTCCTTACCTCATCTTTCTGTTGCAAGGACTTAGACAAAAATAGTTATGTAGGTTTTATCTGAACCAACCTATTTATGTCTACAAGGAATCCCTTTGGCAGTGTGTCCTTACTCATCCAGGAAGTAAGTACTCAACATTTACTGAATCCAGTTTTGCATTTGTTAAAAATAAATGACTTTCTTATACTCACTAAAGAATAAAAGGAGAGATTGTCTCAAAATCATCTCCCAGGTGCTCACATGAAAACCCTGTGCATTCCAGGTTGGAGATTCAGGAAGGAGAAAATGGGGTGGGAGGTGGAAGGTGGGGAGGATTATTCTGTAAGAAAAGAGGGCAAGGCGCTTGACTCGAGTAGATGAATCCCTTTGGGTACACACTGTCATCCTAAATCCATAATGAATGGTCAAAAAAAAATCCAAGGGGAAGAGAGACTCTAAAATTTGAGGAGACCCTTAACGTGATCCTTCCAAAATTTTTATCAACATTCCACCCTCCCTCATAATACTCAGATCCTGGAGACAGTGACATTGGAACTCATGTAGGTCGCCTTGTTGACTTCCAGAATAGTGCCTAGAGTTGTGTTTTTAAAAGGGCGGTATTTGACGCACAGCG